AATGTTGAAACTTTACAATCATTCCACAAATCACATGCATTTCTCAACCATGATCCCTACCTGACATCACACAACCTACAATGTGACTATAGTGAACGCGCACATTAAAATGTCCATGCTTAAAGTAACAATATATTGTGCAGGCCTAAAAAATTACTGTACCTTTTCCTGAAGTGGAAATTACAAGTGTGTGAGAAGAGGAGAAAAGAATATGTCGGAAACTGACTCAGACTAAAAGTTCCTGGATATGCACTATATTTACATTCCAGTGTCCTGAGAGAACAGTGCAGATGGACTATGGAGAATGTGATGCTGGATTTACACCACTGTCCGGCTGGTGCTCCACATCCAGCAGTCTGAAATGTATAAAACAGGGTCTTTGGCTGGACATTATGTTCTTTCTGGAAGTCTTTGTTTTAGAGTGCCAGTGCCTTATATAAGCCCATAATGCATTGCACCTTTTGTAACAGTCGACCCCGCATTAAAACTGGCATACTGTGCTTTACATAGTGTTTGATTAGGCCTGTCACAATAATCAATATGTCGACTTATCAAACAACACATGGACAAGCTCAATCATTTTTAGTGATGCAATATATAATCGCCCATACATTAAATCCAATTCTAGAAACATGTTAGCTGATTGTGCAACATCTCTATCTCTGTTGGCGGTGTCAGTGTCAGTATGGTTAAAATCACTATAGTATTTACTATAAATACTTTAGTATATTTTCATGTTTGTTACTTTTTACTTTGCACTTTTTTGTAAACATTTATTATTATTTGTTTAGGATATCCGTTTTCACATTCTAATTTCAATGCCTGATTATTAAATTTATTTTGGTGCGATATATTTATCATACAACAAAAAAAAGATATCGTGACGTGTGATGGCAAGCAACTTTCACCTTTAATTAATCGAGCAGAACAAAACATGTAAAAGCTGTTGTAAATAATATAGAGAATTCCCTAGAAATGTCAATACATTCGTTAAAGTTGATTCTTCTGTTATAATGCGGTAATGTCAGAGATTAATTTGGATTAATAAATTAAAATGAGACCAATATTTAATTTTAGTTGCATTTATATATATATATATATATATATATATATATATATATATATATATGTATATATATATATATATATATGTATATATATATATATATACATACATACATATAATATGTTTGTGTATATACATATGTATACATGTATACAAGTATTTGAGATATTTCAGTGTCTCATTATACAAGCACACGATTCCCAGAGCTACATTAAGTTTCACTTCAAAAGCATCTTACAGTTTAATTTGAGAAAACTGCAGGTAAATGTGACTGAGTCATTTGTTTTTTGGGATTTTTGGGGGTTGTTTTCTTATTCTCCTTTTTTTTTTAATTTCCCATTTTCTTTTGGTTTTACAATGTCTGATTGTTTTACAGTTTACTTTTAATAACAATAAATTTTACTAAAATTGTATTGGGCAACGCAGTAGGTAGTGCTGTCGCCTCACAGCAAGAAGGTCGCTGGTTCGAGCCTCGGCTAGGTCAGTTGGCGTTTCTGTTTGGAGTTTGCATGTTCTCCCTGCTTTCGCGTGGGTTTTCCTCTGGGTGCTCCGGTTTTCCCCACAGTCCAAAGACATGCGGTACAGGTGAATTGGGTATGCTAAATTGTGTGAATAAGTGTGTATGTTTCCCAGTGATGGGTTGCAGCAAGAAGGGCATCCGCTGCTTAAAAACATATGCTGGATAAGTTTGCGGTTCATTCCGATGTGGCAACCCCAGATTAATAAAGGTACTAAGCCGAAAAAGAAAATGAATGAATAAATGAATAAAAATTGTAATGTAAACGGACGAAAGAAAGTGAAAAGCGGACAGGAGAGGAGGGCAGTTGAGGAGGGGGATTGGTAAAATAAGGCATGTTCCAGCACAAATTAAGCCGTGTATATATATACACACACACACACACTCACCGGCCACTTTATTAGGTTCACCTTACAAGTACTGGATTGGACCTACTTTTGCCTTCAGAACTGCCTTGATCCTTCATGGCAGAGATTCAAGTTACTGGAAATATTCCTCAGAGATTTTGCTCCATATTGACATGATAGCATCACGCAGTGGCTGCAGATTTGTTGGCTGCACATCCAAGATGCGAATGTCCCGATACACCACATCCCACAAGTGCTCTATAGGACTGAGATCTGGTGACTGTGGAGGCCATTTGAGTACTGTGAACTCGTTGTCATGTTCAAGAAACCAGTCTGAGATGATTCGTGCTTTATGACATGGCGCATTATCCTGCTGAAAGTAGACATCAGAAGATGGGTACACTGTGGTCATAAAGAGATGGACATGGTCAGCAACAATACTCAGGTAGGCTGTGGCGTTGACATGATGCTCAGTTGTTACTGATGGGCCCAAAGTGTGCCAAGAAAATATCCCCCACACCATTACACCACCACTACCAGCCTGAACCGTTGACATGCTGGTAAAAGGAAGGATGGATCCATGCTTTCATGTTGTTAACGCCAAATTATGACTCTGCCATCCAAATGTCGCAGCAGAAATCGAGACTCATCAGACTAGGCAATGTTTTTCTCTTCTTCTATTGTCCAATTTTGGTGAGCCTGTGTGAATTGTAGCTTCAGTTTCCTGTTCTTAGCTGACAGGAGTGGCACCCCATGTGGTCTTGTGCTGCTGTAGCTTGTCCGTCTCAATTTTGATGTGTTGTGTGTTCAGTGATGCTCTTCTGCATACCTCGGTTGTAACGAGTCGTTATTGGAGTTACTGTTGCCTTTCTATCAGCTGGAACCAGTCTGGCCATTCTCCTCTGGCATCAACAATGCATTTGTGCCCACAGATCTGCCGCTCACTGTATATTTTCTTTTTTTTTTGGTCCATTCTCTGTAAACCCTAGAGATGGTTGTGCATGAAAATCCAAGTAGATCAGCAGTTTCTGAAATACTCAGATTACCAACAACCATGCCACATTCAAAATCACCTTTCTTCCCCATTCTGATGCTCTGAGGTTTGAACTGCAGCAGATCATCTTGACTATGTCTACATGCCTAAATGCATTGAGTTGCTTCCATGTGATTGGCTGATTAGAAATTTGCATTAATAAGCCTAACATACCTAATAAAGTGGCCGGTAAGTGTGTGTGTGTGTTTTGTCTTATATACATACATTCAGCATCTTTAAATCAGTAACTGAATATGTATGTGCTTTATCTGATGTTTTTAATTCTTTCCCTCATTAAAGAACACAAGCACACTTGCTTACAAAAGCAAGTGAAAATGTGAACGTGCATTTTTGAGATGCACTCAAAGACCCTGAACATGAAATCAACTTTTTTTTCAAATAATATTACCTCAAGTAAGAACTGACGGGTGGATTCCTTCAACCACAACCTGCTAGATCACACATGCAGAATGAGGCAGGAAGGGGCCGCCCACAGAGAAACGAACGGTAGTTTATTTGAAAGCGTCATATCTTACTGTAAAGCAGAATTTCTGTCATTTGCACTTTGCAATGTTTGCTTGCAACACCACATCAGAAGCAAAAGAGCAGCTCGCTCAGCTAGCATAATATGAGCGTGTTCAAGCACATAATGTGCCCGCTGTCTCTGATTCTGTCTTTCCATCACTTAGTAGGCAGTATTGTCCACTTCCTTTCTGAAACTCAGCATAATGTTGACACTTCTGGCTGCCTGCAGCTCTGTAGCAAACGGATGATCTCAGATTCTGTCGGTCACATGATTTCAGACTCTCTTCAAATCACTGGTCAAATAGACAGAACATTAACCAGACAAGAGAGAAGTAGAAGTGATGACAGTACTTCTGTCAAAGAGGGGAAGTTAATGCAGAGAGGGAACTCGTATGCATTCTAATTTGACTAAACTAAACTAAACACTGCACAGCTAAGCTCATGCTTTCAATAGTAGCACTCTGTGATTTTAAAACCATTGCTTAAGTGTCACACTTTCACACTTGCAGAAAACCACATGAAATACATCGAGAGCTCAACTGCACATTAACATTAGCATTTACAGCCTCATAAAAGTGTTTAATGCAAGAAAAAAGCTCACTTAACAGTTTCCAATGAACAAAACAGTCAACTGTCAAACAAACTGACAATAACTAACCTATTGAACCCAATACCAACTAATTCTAATCTGAGGTAACCATTTTAAAGAACTGAGCGGACACTGCATTTGAAATAACTCGTGACACTGGTGGCACAAAATAATGAGGTTTTTAATTCACAAGGAGAAAAAGATGAAAGAAAAAAAGGAAGGAGCAAAGCATATGACTTGCATTGCATCTCACTGTGGAGACCCCATGGCCTTTCAATTACAAACACATGCTCCTACTAGTTCGAGTTACTCTATGAATCGGTTCTTTTGAATGGTCGTTTCACAGTCAGTTGAACAATTCAAGTTAAACGATTACTGTGGTTGATAATGTCCTATATATTTAATTAATTTGAATACGCTTTTGTTTATACAAATTTATCCAAAAGTTAAGAATTGAACACCAGAACGTCAAAACAAATCGCTCGGTTCTATTTTTAGCCGATTCAATTAAAGATTCGGCTCAAAAGAACGATTCGTTAGCCAATAAGAACTCGCTTGCAGCTATCAGAATGGATGAACTTGATATGTCAACTGTTCTTTATAAGAATTTGCAGTATTTTGTTTTAAGAAGCTGCCTTGTGTGTCTAAACTACAGGAGAAAACAACCTTATTAACCCTGCCACAAATATACGCTCAAACTGGCAACCCAGGAAGTGGGGGAGACTTTGCTTCCCCCAAAAGTTGGCACTGCTTGTGCTTTTGTGGAGGAAAATAGCTATTTAAACTGAACACCTCATCCACACACTGAAAACTGACTCAACACTACAAGTAGGCTGCGTTAAGAAATGCACAGCAAGGTCAAATCACAGACTACATCCATAACTCGAGCGTTTTATACAGCAACAGTCTGCGTAAACACTTACCGGTGCTTTGCGTCTTTTACTGCGCGTCCACCGCTTACGAACCGAACGCAGCAACACTCATCCTCATCAAGCATCTACACAAACACAGAGGAACACAAGTTTTGGGCCACTCCTTCATGGCAGAAACACACACGCAAGTTCTCCCCGCTGTTTCCGCCCAGCGTCCTGCCTACAAGTCCATCACATTAGCTGGAATAAACATTCAAAGCTCATCGCTTGAACGCCGCAAGTAGCAATTCAGCACATATAAGCAGTATCACATCTCTTTAAATGAGAGAAGTACAACCCAATGTCTTGAATTGGACGCGATATCTTTTTAATTCGTTTCTTTACCCAGTTTTTCTTCCTCCAGCAGAACAGCAGACTCTTCGTTCTCTTTATCCGGGACATTCGTCTGTGATGCAACGTCCAGATGTGACTGACTGACTGACTGACTGACTGAGCTCAAACATCTGTCAAACTGTTGCAAGTGTGTGTGTGACACAAAACTGAGCTCTGTGTGGGGAAAAGTCACAGACATGTCAGTCACATTTTGGAAAAAGCTAAATAAAATAATGTTTTTTGACAGAAAACTCTTTTGTTGTTTAAATGTTGCAACTATTTGATTAAGAATACAACAGTATCCGTAGCGAGTGGGGGGGGGGGGGGGGGGGGTTGTCTTTTTCTCTAAAAGTAGACCATTTTGATGATATTTTATGAAATATTTTGTGCTGGATTAGCTTGTCTTCTTCTATCACGTGCATGCTTTTTACAGTACCAAAATGGTGACTGTTTTGTCAAGTTGCTTCTAATAAAGTGCAAATTTTGTCAGTCCAAGCACACAACATTTAGTTTTTTTATTGTTATGAGGATTTCCCATAGACATACAGCAAGGGGTAGATTTCATGTTTTTGGGGCCCCAAGCAATTCCAGCCATGCGGCCCAAGTCCTGAAATGCACCCTTTCTACTCTTATTTATTTTTTATCTATATTGCTGTTTGTTATATCACTCAATCTTCTTTTCTACATTTTAAATGTGTTTTTAAAAAAATGAATTTGCAAGTAAAAATAATGCATTCATTTTTTTATAAATATGACTGCTGGACCACTCAATGATGGATATTTTATTTTGTAATATTATTATTACATAACATTACATTATTATAAGACTATATAGGAATTATCAATTTATGTCACAGATGACGTCACACAGGTTCAACCAGGCATTCCGGTTGCAAAAAAGACCAGTTGCAATAGCAAACATGTCGTGTTGTGCGGTAGGATGCCAAATTCTAAATTAAATATGAAATTATTTTAAATATTAAATTAAATTAATTAAATAAAAAATAAATTAAGCCCAAACTCCAAACACCACACAGCTTTTAATGCCAACTGCAGACATCTTTGACAAACAGCCATCAGGAGAGCTGAATGGTGTGAGGACCTAATTAAAAATGCTCGACTCTGCAGTTCTTATGTTATATCAAGTAAGTACACTCTATGCTGAATCATACTCATTACTCGTTTTTGATTGCAGCAATGATTTAACAAACAGTTAAATTTGGTTAATTAAACTGCGGACAGTGAATGCTTAGAATAAAATGTAAAAATGTACATTCACATACCCTGCCGTACAGGTGGATTTCGCTGTCAGAATGCAGTTATTTTGCTTGTTGGTGATTACCCAGGCCTTGTACAGTTCCGTCGTCTTTCCTTGTCTTTGGCTAGGCAGAACCTCGGTTTTTATCACTACCGTTTTGAGTCTGGTAATCATAGAACATTATTTCCTGCACATGACCACACAGAACAAAATTGTAGGCATCCAAAGACTTGTAGGCCTTTAACTTTTCTCTCGTAAAATCACTTGGAGTTTCAATAATATAGCTGTATATTTCGGGTTGTATGCTTGGCCATTTCATCTAATCCAATATATCCATTGGAAAACGCTATCGCAAATAGACCTGTCAGACGAACACAGCTCACTTTAACGTTCATTTTGCCGAATAACTGTGCTTATCACTGGGTGACAAGCTGTTATAATACGCTGAAAGCATTATGTAAATAATATAAATGATATGTAATCAATATAGCTTATCTCTAATACAACAACAAACTGTGTACTGCATCAGATGTCATTCCCTCGCTGCAAATGCTAGCGCTCCCGCTTTTTTCTGCCCGCGCATCCTGAATGCTTACAAACCGGTCATTCATCTATTTGATTGTATACTGAAAAGTATTTAATTACATTAAAATTGTAACTCTTACCATACAAAATATGATGGAAAATGATGTTATATTTAGTTTATAGGGATCATTTTTACTTCTAGATACTTATTGGGGGCCCTCAGATTTCCTGGGACCCTAAGCGGCTGCTTACCTCACTTATTGGTTAAATCCAGCTGTGCATATGGGATCTTCAACAATGCAATACATTGTGATTTTTAATACATTGATACATTATTTTAATTTTTAGACTTTATATATATATTTAGATTGTATTAGAGATTGTTCATTTTAATACAAATATTTACCAAAAACAATTCCATAAAATAATTAAAGGGACAAATTCTGGACCTTTTGGCCTTGAATCTGACACCCGATTTCTACATGAACAACTGTTTTCAACATTAATAATAATCAGAAATATTTCTTTAAGTCTTTTTGGCAGCAAATCAGCATATTGAATGATTTCTGAAGGAACACGTGACACTGAAGACCAGAGGAAAAGCTAAAGACTGAATCTTTGAATCACAGGAATATATGACACTTTCAATGTAATCACATTAAATTACAATATTTCAATGTTATTGTTTTACAAACTAAATGCGGCACTGATGAGCAGAAGAGATTTCTTTCAAAAATAACATGACAAAAAAACAAACATTACGATTTTAGGAGAAGTTTATTAAGCCTTACACAACAAATATTACATTTCAGGCTTGTTTATTAAATCAAAAAGTCTTTAAAAACTAACAAAACAAATGTAAGTAAACCATTACATGATTATAATAATCAAACCAAAGAAACAGAGACGAACTGCTAATCAAAGAAATGTCAAATAGTGTACTAATTCTTACAAATAATGTCTGCAGTTTCAGTTTAATTCTTTTGTTAGTCTGTTGAATAAAACCCATCAAATTTAGTTCATGAATGATTTTCTCCATGTAAGTGTCAAGCAATTCAAGTACATCGGTAACCATGAAAAACGCAGAGCAAATAAATACAAACACTATAAAAACAAACAGAATGAAATACAATAAATAGTTCAACATCAAGTAAACCCCACACCACACATATTTCTGTACATCCGTGCAGATAAATACGCACACGCCGTACTGGCATAAATAGGAGTGAGCAACTAGAGAAACATGAGCTGTGTGTTTCCTTTACCATGAACATGAGCATTTATGCATTGAGCTGGTCTTGCTGTCCAGGTGTTGATATGCGTTTACTGACTGAGCATGTGGTCTGATCAGACATCCTCTTTGCTAAAGCTCAGCAAAGTTTCAAAGCACTTTAGTCATTCAAGGCTTGGTTGGGGATTTTGGGTTCTCACAGCATGCTGAGCTCGATCAGACGTCCGGCGAAAACTCCTAATGTACCAATAATGCACACAGCCATGAACACACACAGGAGAATGTGATCCAGGACCATAGCGACAAACTTCCACTCCTCTGCGGCCTAGACGTAAAGACAAAGATGAAGGAAGACTGTGATTAATGTGTATTAAACCTTGTGTACCGTTCAAATGTACTACCCTTTCATTATGTTAAGGGCTGTTTTAGCCCCATATGCTTATTTCAAGTGGCCGCCATTTTAAAATAGGACAGCGAGGCTGCGGTGGGAAGAAAACCCGGAAGTATAGGATCAGCACTGTAAATATTGCAACAACATGCTGTGGACTACAAACCTCCAGCTATTGCTGTGATTTCAAAATGCAGAAATGGTGTAAACACCACTTTAATATCATTCAGTTCAGTTTAATTTAAACAATTTAAAGCATATTAGGCATCAAACAACATCACAATCTCTTTAAGAGTAATATGCTTAAAGGGTCACGAAACACCAAAACACATTTATTAAGCTGTTGACAGTCGTATATGTGTCCCACACTGCTAAAAACACTATTAGGACACTTATATTTCACTAAAAAGTGTAAATTGGTTGTTTTTGCGTTATTTCAAGTAAATTCGTACTTCCGGTTTGAAACTAATTTTTGAAGCTGCGTCAAGGTCATGACATAATAGCGTGAATTCCAGCGTGCAGACTGGGCGTCTGTACCAGAGTGAGTCTTATTACGTCTTACAGTGTGATGCATTAATGCATGAGTAAGGCTTGGTTCAAACCAATCAGCGCGTTCTATTGTGCAACTTCATTAATATTCATTACTGTCACAGTGTTTAGACGACAGAGATGCCACGTTGTGTTGGCAAAACAAGCGTGAAGGGTTGCTTTTATAGTTTGCTGCCTTTAAGTTTTGTTTTCATTTTCTCTCTGTGAGAGCTCAGCTGGAGTCACGTGTGGATTAACAGTGTACGCGACGCGCAACAACAATAACTTACGTGTCTAAGGAGGATTATTGTTTACCTGAGAGCTGTTCTCATCTGCAAACGCTGGGATCCGGATACACTTGTAGTCTCCTCTTAATAAAGACGCGGCTCTAGTTGCTGGTGATTGTCCTGTCTCTACAGATTTGGTAAGTGAGCGACCAGTGCTCTTTGTTTATTCAGTTTGTTCGTATCTAACAAACTATTGCACCGAGTGTAAACATGTTAGCACTACAACCAAACTTTAACCTCCTGTAGGATTTTCACCGAATTTAGTGACCGGAATAACACACGCGGCTTTCTGACGCTACCTGCCGTGTGCATCTAAGTTTCCAGGAAATGCTGAGTTTTTTTTCTCTTATTCGCCGTGCGGTATCAAACATTGCAGGAAAAATACATGCTTAGAGCAGTTCCTCGAATCAAATATCTCGTTTGTCGCGAGGGGCATGAATGAATTCCCTGAATAAAAGAGCAAAACAGCAGTTAAAGTCCACCATTTAATAATTTGGCAAATAATTCGACTACAGATGTCCATGTAAACACAGTCACTTTGTCCACTGTGTTTGTGTATTTTGACTCTAAAACTCAGCGCGCCCAAATAGACACTCCCACACCAAGCCTCTTTTCTTCCTCCGGCACTCCCCCCTAAACAAAGCTGGACACGCCCCCATTTCTGACTTTTTCCAAAGTAGAGGTGTGAAAACACCCTGCTGAAACGAAGGGGTTTCATGGCCCTTTAAGTGTCCCCCTAGACA